TCAAAAAATGATTAGATACTTTTCCAGAGTGAACTATCTCTTAGCTCAGTGTTCCGTGTTTCTCAGAGTAGGTTTCTTACAACACTGCTTCCATGGCACGTTAATACATGTTAGATGAAAACAGAGGTTCCATGTTTAAATGAGGTTGGGAAATGCTGGACTATACAATGTACTGGCCTGCAGGTTTTGCACTCATTTTTATGCCATGTCTTCTTTGTTGTTGTTGTTGTTGTTGTACCAGGTATTGAACCCAGGGATGCTTAACTACTGAGCCACTCCCTGGCCCTTTTTTATATTTATATTTTATTTAGAGATAGGGTCTTGCTGAGCTGCTTAAGGCCTTGCTAAGTTGCTAAGGCTAGCTTTGAACTCATGATCCTCCATCCTCAGCCTCCTGAGACACTGGGATTATAGGCATGAGCCACCGCTCTGGCAATGGTCCATGTCTTTAACCCAATAAACTTTATAGGATTAAAGTTTGCCTCACCAAAACCCATAAACCAATAATCTTTCACTCCCACCCCACCCCACCCCCATTTGCTGATACTGGAAGAGAACAACAAAGGATAGAGGGTGGGAAAACTGCAAGAGCCTCCTGCTTAGAGAGAAGTGGGGATGGGTCACACAGGGGGAGCTCACCTTTGGCCTTAATCCCAGTCTTATCCATTAGTCCATTTTGTTCTGTTCTAAGAGAATACCACAGTCTGGGCAATTTATTAAAAAGCAAGTCTATTTCTAAAGAGCTCTGGAGGCTGGGAATTCTAAAGTCAAGGGCCCTACATCTGGTGAGAGGCCTTTGTACTGTGCATTTCCATAGTAAAATGTGGAAGGGCGAGAGAATGCTAAAGAGCAAGAGATCAAACTTCAGATGTTAGTCCTTCTAGAATTGGCATTGATCCATCACAAGGGTGGAGCCTCCCCAGGCCCTGCCTCCCAACACTGTTGTTTCATAGTGTTTGCACACACTTTGGGGGACACTTCAAACCACAGCATTCAGCCCCTGACCCCCCAAATTCTTGTACTTCTCACACACAAAATAGTTTTTCTATTCCAATGAAGCCAGATAGGCAAGGGTCCCATYCAGAGAATGGAGAAATTGAAATGTTAATGCCTTCAGGACCCTTCCACCACCCTTATCAAGAACTTGCCTCAGCTCCAACCTGTTGCTAAATTAAACAGTTCTTCCCTATAGGGAGTTATAAAGATGTTAATGTCTCCAGCGCTGCTCCATCCTGCCCTTCCCCCTTCAGCCTACCTAGTTCCCACCTTTTGGCCAGGCCATCTCACTGAGCATCTCCTGGGCCTAGTCACATATGCAGGAAGGAGAGAGATAAAGGGAAGAGAGCAGGAGAACAAAGGAAGCCTAGGACAYACATAAAAAAGCAAAACACYCTTGCTTCTTGGGATACCAGGATACCAGCTATGGCCCCCTTCTCGCTCCCAAGAGAAATCTATGTTACACCTTTTTAAAATAAACCCTGCTTTATATGCTTGCCTTGGCGTGCTTCTCTAATGTTCAAACTTCAACATGCAAGGGAGCAGAACTCGTCACTGATAATCGGCAATATCACCAATAGCCCAAAGTTTTAATATAACAGAAAATTAGAAGCTACTTTTGCTACAAATACTGACTCTTCATTCGGACTTTCAGATACCCAACAGGAAAAAGCTTGATATTTCTGCCTTCATTTTGTATCTGTCTTCAAATTCCTGCTCTGCAGGTAGGCATGTTAATCATTTAAGGAATGTTCATGTAAAAACTGGTAATACAAGGTTTATTAGCCCTAAGTTTACATAACTTATCTCATCCCTTTTTAAGACTGAGGATACCAAGATAAAAATAACTAAGCTACTTTCAAGATTTACAAGAATGTTCAACTGCCGCTTTTACAACATCCTGTTCCAGACCTCTGGAGTGGTGCCTACAAGTCTCCAGTCACTGACTGCCCTATACCTTCTTCCAGGAACAGCAGAGCCTTGCAGATGGATCACCCCATGAGACTGCTCCCCTAAGCAGAAGCAGTCATCTCATGGGAACTGAACTTCCCCAGGATCATAGATCTTCTGGATAAACATCCTGAGCATGGGCTGGGGATGTGGCTCAAGCGGTAGCGCGCTCGCCTGGCATGCGTGCGGCCCGGGTTCGATCCTCAGCACCACATACAAAGATGTTGTGTCTGCCGAAAACTNAGAGCCGAACTTCGCACGATGGAAATCTGTCCACTAGATTCTGGAGCACCTCAATTTCACTTGAACTTCCCAAAGATATCCTTCAGCCGTTTTGCATCGTCTTTCTCCCACTTAGTGACGCGGCGCCCTGGGGTGATGCAGTCCCTTCGCAGCCATGTTAGATCCCCACCTCCCAAAGTTGCTGTTTTAGTGACAGTTTCCTTTTTCTCTCTAGGACAGTAACAAGTTCCTCCAAGGAGGGGGAAGGGCGGGAGGGAGGGTAGAGGAGGTAGAAGAGGGTGTTTCCTCCTCTTTCAACTGAATCAACTGTGCCTCTGTGTTTCCTGTTTTACCACCCTGTGTCCCTTCCTGTTCACCAATGTGATTGAAGATGGTTTTACTGTTGCCTAGGCTGGAGAGTGGGGGGAGGGCCTAGGGGCCTTTCCGCTCTCAGGCAAACCAGCTACTTTGCCAGATAGTGTGAACAAAACTCCACCCGGGAGACAGACAGCCTGCTGAGTTTCAGGGCCTGTCTCAAGCAACTGGAGGCAGCTGTAGTGCTGTGGGTTTTAAAGTCCAGGTTACCCTGGGAGGAATAAATGGCTGCTCAATGTAAAACAATGGTTTGCAAATCACTGGAACAGCAGCAGCATCTGGGAACTTGTTAGAAATGAAAATTCTCTGGGCCCCAACACTGATCTCCTGAATCAGAAATTGGTAGGGGTGAGGGGAGTACAAATCTGCATTTTTAACAAGCCCTTGCATGATTGTGATGCAAGGTCAAGTGGGAGAACCCACTTCCTGGAGAGAACTCCTGGTACCTGGGGCCTTCCTGACTGCTGCCTTAACTCCAATCCCGAAGTCAACGGTGGAGATGGGGCAATCTGTAGGATTGCTCAATCCTTCTCGAAAATACAGAAGTTCATACAGATGGTTTTTATTTAGCTAATGCTTTCAACAGAAGAAATTCTGCAGCAGAGTGACCTCAGGATTACATTTGAATTCTACAACTGACCACAGCCACATAATTCTAAGAAGAAAGAAGCTAAACGGGGCCCCAGAAATGTTGGTTGGAAGCAGTGTTCAGGATTAAGGGGAAATCCTAGGTTTCCTACCTCATCTTTCCTGCTTTCAATTGAAAAAAAACAGGTTATGTTGCTGGTGCTTCCACTGTAAGGCCTTCCATGCATCCCATCGCATGGTGGATCTTCTAAGACTAAGCAGGGAGGTTACCAGGCAAGCCAAGGCCAAAATGAGTCCTCTGGGTTTTCCCTCATTCTTGGACCACTGTAAACAGTGGTAATTTTTAAATTTGTGGTACTGGGTATTGAACCCAGGGCCTCTTGCATGCTAGGCAAATCTCTACCATTGAGATATACTTCCATATATATACATATATTTATATTTATATATTATATATATTTATCATTATTATTATTATTTTGAGACTGAGTCTCATCAAGTTGCTCAGACTGGTCTTGAACTTGAGTTCTTCCAGCCTCCGCCTCCCAACTCTGGGATTACAGGCAGGCGCTACCATGCCCAGCTGTACAGAATTTATTTTTAGTTTTTAGCCATTATTTTAAAAGCCCACTTCCACTTAGATCCACTTTTCAATAAGAATACTATAAAAACTTATCCACAGTAATTCTACCCTTTTTTTTTTTTTGTTGCTCTTGCTTTTTAAGCAATTTACTCTAATTATGCTTTCTGGGGAAGATGAAATGCTTTGAAAATATTCTCACTGCCTTCCGCCTAACCCCTCTCCCATCCTTCCATCTAGTACATTCTTGTGTTGGGTGGGGGGGGGGGACTTCCAATCACTTAGGCAACCTATATGGTGCTTGTGTCTTCGTTGGCAGTTAGCCTTGGTGTGACACTCTGGGACTGGAAGCTGCTTAGGTGCAATGAGGGAACTTCCTTCTCCCTCAGGATTCTAAAACCTTCCTGGAATTCTGGAATGTGCTTATATCTATTGGCAGGGAGGGAGTGGGAGTGACTAGAGAGAAACCTATTCAGCAGGTATAATGTCTGGCTTACCTTGGGCCACCCACCTATACCAGATGTGAAGCCAAACCAGATGAATGTCCTTGGTCCCAGAACTGCAGCATTTAAATATCTTATGATGGACCAGGGATTAAAGAGATTCAGACACCATTACACTGYCCCCTAGTTGAGGACAGAGCTCACCTGTTTTAATAACACAAAGAGATGACTATGTGTAAACCCAAACCCATAAACCCAAAAATGAGAGAGACCAAATGTAAGTACTTTCCAGCTCTGTTTAGAAATGGAAGGCCTCCTGGTTGCCCTGGCCCAGCTTAAGGTCTCAGGTGTGGTCCCAGATACAAAGAAATAGATTGCAGTCAGGGTGGTCCAGCTACAGCCAGTTAAAATTYTTTCCCTGAAACATGTTTCTGTAGAGCAAAAATTTTAAATCCGTTTAACAAGCTGAACAATCACATAAACAGCATACTCTGTTTGAAAAATATTCTGACTTAAAAACATTCTTTAATGAATGAATTTGCCCTCATAAGAGTTCCTAAAAGAAGGGGGCTGGGGATGTGGCTCAAGCGGTAGCGCGCTTGCCTGGCATCTGTGCGGCCCGGGTTTGATCCTCAACACGTCTGCTGAAAAACTAAAATAAAATAAATATTAAAAAAAGGAAAAAGTGCTTTTAAAAAAGAGTTCCTAAAAGAATATTGAGGAAGAGGTTTTAAAGTCATTTGAAAACCTTTGGATCAGGGGAAGAATTTGAAAGGATAAAATATCACTTGTTCTCATTAATAACTTTCCTGGATGGCTTTTTTTGTTTTGTTTTTGTTTTGTAGGTACCTCGGGTCTTTATTGGTAAAGATTGTATAGGTGGATGCAGTGATCTAATAACTATGCAAGAGAACGGGGAACTGCTGACACGGCTGAAGCAGATCGGAGCTCTGAAGTAATTACAGGTGAATGGCAGACTAGACACTGGGACATTAGGAGACTGGAATTCTACTGCCATATCTCATGCTATAGGAAGGATTCACACTAAGGAAGAATGACTTAGTGATTTGAGGAACTGCAACATCAATTATTTATGAATTTCACATTTTACAAAGGCATGAATTGTATCAATGGGAGAAATTATTTCACTCAAACTTCATTTAACAAATGAAGGTTATTGAGGGTTTACCATGTGCCAGACACTGTACTAAACACAGACATACATAAGAAAGATAACATGAAAACTGTATTCTAGAGAGGGAGGCAGATCACAAAAAAACAAGTGAATAATTCCTGAAACAAATAGAATGATGTGATAGAACATGCCTGGAGGAGGGGAACGACAGCCCTGATGAAGCAGAGCTTGCTAGGTGGAGGGATTAGCACACGAGATAGGATCTGAGCCAACCTRTAAGCATATTCAAGGAACTGAAAGAAACAAAGAGCAGGCTGAGGAAAGGGCAGTGAGGAGGAAGAGTAAGACCTGTGGGTAGGAACTGAGCACATAGGCCATGGTAAGCAGTATGGATTTCTTCTACGCGCAGTGTGAATGGAGATAATTTTTGCTTATCTGGGTTCACATGGCAAACTGACCCAGTCTGATTGGCTTCTCCAACACCAAAGTAAATTTTATAAAATCAGTCACCTAAAGGAGATCTTTGGCTTGATGGAAAACTGGGGGATGAAGAGCAGCTTGGAAAGAAATCAGGCTGCTCTTGAGGTCTAATAAGCAACTGCCAGCACTGCCCCAGCATTTCAGGGCTGCCAAACTTCTACATAGTCCAGTTCCACTGACTCATAAACAGGAATGACTTCAATTTTTTTTTCTTGTCATGAGAGAAATTTATCGTTCTTTAACCAAAGGTTCTTAGAAGGGATCTATTGCTCACCAATTAATAACTTTATCCCTTGGTCAATGAGTATGTATGATTTGTGATGGTTACATAGAATAGTAACAGAAGTGGGGGAGGAATAAGCCTGAAATTCAACTGAATCCCCTGAAATAAAATAATCAACATGAGGGGCTGGGGATGTGGCTCAAGCGGTAGCGCGCTCGCCTGGCATGCGTGCGGCCCGGGTTCGATCCTCAGCACCACATACCAACAAAGATGTGGTGTCCGCCGAGAACTAAAAAATAAATATTAAAAATTCTCTCTCTCTCTCTCTCTCTCTCTCTCTCTCTCTCTCTCTCTCTCTCTCTCTCTCTCTCTCTCTCTCTCTCTCTCTCTCTCAAAAAAAAAAAAAAATCAACATGATACATCTTCCAATCACACCATATGACATTGTCACAGCAGATGAGTGCTATTCATCTAGGTTAATTTTCTGGTTTTATGTAAGGTTCTAAAGCACTAAAAGCCCCATTAGTGGTTGCAAATGTTTGCTCTTCTGGAGCACGTTCACCAGTTAGGCTTAGATGAAGAATGGAAGTAACATTTCCCCAATTCCCTCTATCTTGGAGTAGGATTAGAATCTTCATATTCAGAAGTCTCTTTGTATCCTCCTTCCCTCAGCATTCTATGCTATCCCTATTTTGCTGCCAATTCCATCCCAAGGCTATCCACAGTAGTGTGTTTATTTTTTTATTTTTATTTTGTTTTTTAAAGAGAGAGTGAGAGGGGGAGAGAGAATTTTTTTTTTTAACATTTATTTTTCAGTTTTTCGGCAGACACAACACAACATCTTTGATTGTATGTGGTGCTGAGGATCGAACCTGGGCTGCACGCAGCCAGGCGAGCGCGCGACCGCTTGAGCCACATCCCAGCCCCCACAGTAGTGTGTTTAAACAGCAAGAGAAAGTGGTTTGGTCATGAGAAGGGAAATGAGGGAAACTGAACTTCCAAGAAGATCTAATTCATTGTTTATTTCCTAGTGGAGCAGACRGCCACACCAATGTCCTCCTACAGAGCTGGATGGCAGCACAGAAGATGACAGTATTTCCTGGTGGATGGGATTTTTTAGCACAAACGACTTTTTCTTCATTTGCCTCCATATTAAAAAGTGGACCAACTTGTCCCTAACCACAGGGCCAAGAAGGTTGATGGATCTTCCCGGTTTTCTTCTAGATTGGTCCTTTGGGTTCCAGAAAACCATGACAAGTTCTGGTTTAGTATTCACTTATCCAAAAGATATATATTTTTTCTCCTTAGCTTGTGTTTCTTATTAACCATTCTGTGTGTGMCAGCATGCCTCTACCTCCAAGCCAGTGTTTCTCAATCATATTTATCCAGATGCTCCAAGGATGAATCTACAGTTGGTTTCCTGCCATTTCCCATCAGCTGAAATTATTTTGCTGAACATGACTTTATGCAATTTGTATCATGAAACCCCTGGATATTTTGAGTCTGTTTTTTCAAACCTACCCCACCCCATCTAACCTTGAGGGTCACTGCTTGGAGCCATTGTTCTCACCTTGCCATCTCACACATCTCATTGGAAACATTCCACAATTCTGAAAGGGCATGAGCACCCAATTTGAGAACCTGTGAGAAAAATTTGAGCACAGGGTTGGTCTTCACCAGGGTCATGTGGATAGAGGCAGCAGGGCAAGAGGCAAACATGTGGCAACACTTAGATAAGATGGTTCCAGATCACCCTGAATAGCTGTGTATCATTGGATTTAGATTCCAGCAAAATTAAAATATAAGATGTAAAACATTAGCATAGAAAACTTATATCCCAAATTTGTCCCAAGAAATCCCAAGAGTATGTCTGAAAGGAGCTAAATTTTGAGAAACACTGTCCTAAATAACACACACACGCACGCACACACAAGTTGGAAATTTAAGGCTCCCTTACTGTGAAGTTTGTCTCTAGAATTGTAAGATTGTTAATTTCCTTCTGTGGTAACTAGTGGTAATGGTTAATTTCTTTTCTAATAAAGATGTACATACAGCTATCTCATGGTTTTTATACAGTTCTCTATGTTCTCAAGACTTTAAGGAATAGAATTAATATGAAATATATTCAAAGTTTTATTCATGTTTGTCCCTGCCCTTATAAAGACATGTACTGCTATCACACATTAAGTACAAGTGGTTGGTATGATTTTTAAATTTCATACTGAAATGACAATTTAGATATGTCAACACTAGCTCTGTGAATTATTTTTGGGGTTCAATAACCATCTTTTTCATTTCATATGTTGTTTTTCCACTTCCTACTTAATACCCTGTATTTTTTAATTTTCCAACATGGGCTCTAGACACTCAATTCAGCCAAGATTGCTATGGATGACTATGCAAGTCACATTGCACAACACTACAAATGCCACCCTGGAGGTTAGGTATCATCCCTGATCCTGTACTAATCTATACTTTCATTCACACTCCTGTGTCCTTGCTCCTTGTGTGAAGAAATGCCCTTTCTACTTTGTTCTATGTTCACACTCCTCCTCTTCCCTCAAGGCTTGATTTACAAACTGTCTCCCTATACTCACCTCTCCGTGACTTAACAAAAATATATCATTGCTTCCTCTTCTTCAGTCCAGAAGTACTGGCACTTGGGTTCTTTATAACTCTTACTGGGCTGTATTGTAGTCAGTCATCTCTATTGGTCTCTTGACAGATTCAGAAATGCACAAAGGCAAGAAGTTGACTTCCATCTCTATAAACTAATTTTCTAGGAAAGAAGCTCTATTTTATCAAGGCAATACATGTACATGGTTTAAAATGCAAAACGGTACTAAAAGACTTTCCTGGTGTAATCCTTGCAAACCCCATTCCTTATCAGTTTTGTGGGTATTTAAGCCTATTTAAAATTATTATAAAATGAACTGGGAGTGATGGCACTTGCCTGTAATCCCAGCTACTCAGGAAATTGAGCAGAAGGATCACAAATTTGAGGCCAGCCTGGGCAATTCAGTGAGACCCTGTCTCAAAAAAATAAAAAAGGTTGAGAATGTAGCTACTGGTAGAGTGCCCCCGGGTTCAATCCCCAATGCCACAAAAATACAAAAAAATAAAAAATAAATAAAATGTAGTAGACATATACAAGAGTGAATAGAATGTATGGTTCTATTTAGCACCTATAGAAAGAGTGTTTCTAAGATACTGAGAGGCCCACATCCCCCTCCCAAAGCATACCTTCTCTCCCCACATAGAGATAATCACTGGTTCATTTTGTTGTAATTTTTCTAATATTTATATTTTTACTTCCTATAACATCCCTCGTAATACATTTTACATCTGAACAGCAACACCACCCTGCAATGTAAAGAAAGGGCACTATTATGACAGCCATGATGAACGATGCCAAGAAAAGATACGCCAAAGACTGAGTCATAGGCCAGCATCTGTCTCCCTGGAAGTTGATCAGAACTGCATTTGAGGAAGCCAGAGAGGCCCTGAGCAAGTCCTTGGAAACACAGAGCACCCCAGGGTCTGGAGGCTATGGTGTGAACCAGATAGTGGTGTCCCCCAAAAATATGGTCAATGGCAGTGGACAGCTCTATGTTTTCTGTTCCTAAGCTCAGCAATGGCCCACTTCCAATTTTCAGAAGTTGATTAAAGAATACCTGCACCTCCTTCAACTGGCCAGGTGTGTGATAAATGCAAGGCAAGCAGAGAATAAATATGGAAAAAAATAGCATGTTGGTTTTTCCTCTCTTTTAGTCTTTTCCCTGTTTCTACATTTGAAAGCCTTCCTCAAATGTCTGGAGATATGGTTATCTATAAATATTTGAGAATAAGGCACTAAGCCCAGTGTGGAAGCACAACACTTATAGTTCCCAGCTAGTCAGTGAACTGGGGCAAGAGAATTGCCTGAACCCAGAAGTTCAAAGCCAGACTGTAAACCCCATATTGTTATTAAAAAAAAAAAAAAGTGGGTGGGGGGGAGCACTAAGAAACTGGTTGGAAGATTTGTGTGCCTCAATTTGGCTTGTCAACCAATGGACTTCACCATGGTTAGAGTCTTTGTTCAAATGTCACCATCTTAGCAAGAGCTCCCAGATCACCCCATCTAAAATAAACACCCTGCCTTCCTCTCTCCCTAGCATTCCTACCCCTCTTATTTGTTTTCACATTTATCACCTAAATGCCATAGTTTACTTACTTGTTTATTGTCCTTCATTAGACTGTAAGTCCCTTGGAGTCAAAGAACAAATCCTGTTTTAATCAACGCTGTATCCATGGCATGGGGAGGACTGTGGCAGAGAGTAGGCACTTGATAAATACCTGTTAGGTGTCTGAATGGATGAATTAATGAGTGGATGATCAGGCATGGATCTGGTCATATCATTGGGAGGTTCCCCCATCTGTTCATTCCTGAATCTCTTTCTTTTAAGCTACTCAGTTTCTGCAGTGTCAGAGCTGGACTTCCTCAGCAGGGTACTGTCTGACAAGCAGGGGAAAGGTACTTGGCAACGTCCTAGGCAGAGTACAGGGTCTCTAATCACCTTCTGTTTTCTGCTGAGTAATTCTGTGAAATAAATACACAAGGATAGAAAAGACTGTCTTCCAAAGGGCAACGAAAGGTTGGCACAAAGGCTGGGCAGAGGCAAAGCAACAAGAATGGCCAAGAAAAAATATATAGCCAAAGCTCTCTTCTTGCTATATACTTTGGAAAGCAAGTGATTTGATCTCCTATGAATGTCTCACTCTAATAGCTACTTTCTCTCCACTGCTTCCAGTCTGGCTCCTTGTGTTGGATTCTTCACGGTCATTCCTCCCAGTTCAAGGCTGTCTGAAGATGGCCCTTCTGGGAAACAACAGCAAGGATGATAAATGTGTCTGTATGGCCCAGACCACAATGTTTAAATTCCAGTGAGTATCACTAGGGCATTATCTTGACATTGGCTTGTAAGAGAAACCCATGCTCCCTAATTTACTACTCCATAAAAATCATTCTCCAGTCTTGGGAAATATTTTCTAGAACTAGGCTCTTAAGATATTTTACTTAAAAGTCCTTTATTACATAAATATCATTGTTTTTTTTWAAATTAAGTACACTGAATGTTTAAAGGATCAGAATTCAATCTTGCTCATCAGTGGAAGAGAATTTTGGCCTCATCCCTTGAAGTACAACTGATACTTAAATGTGGGTCTATATTTATGTGCAGGTTTATATTTCCTGTCCCCAGGCAACTTTTCTGGTGAGCTATACAGAGCTGAAGGAGGGGAATGGAGAATAGAGGGGACAAGGGAACCAAGGAAGGTGCCAAGGGAACCAGGGAAGGTGCCAAGTTTGGGGCATTTGGTTTTATCCCTGGCGGACCTTCCCACCCACACAGGATCCTCCCTCCAGGTCAGCTGGTCGGTAGCCTCTGGACAGATGCAGCTGAGCCTTCTGGAAGAGAGCAGATCATAGCCTTCTTATTTCTCTTCCCTGTGCCTTTTGAAACCTGGAACACTTCATAACTTAAAATTGCAAGTCATTTATAAGGGGGGGATTTCGAACTGCCTCTCATTGTTGTTCCTCCAGATCATCCGAGAGAACTGGGTATGATGATCTTTAATGCAATCCAACCTAGGTTCTAACCAGAGGTCTCAAATGGGGATCAAAAGATCCACTCTGGGAATGGGGACCAGCAACACCTGGAAAGGCAGAAGCAAAGAACTCAGCTGGATCCTGTGGCACATTTAGAATTAACCAGTGTGAGGCCAGAGTGGGTATCCTTTTCCAGAGAATCTCTGTTAACCTTGCCAGGCAGGTGCTGTATGATTGGAGAGCACCAGAGAGAAGGAGATGATAACAATGGGCCACAGGCTGCCTCCAGAACAGGAAGACGGTGGGCATTCCCAAATGGATCAGGAATAGCAAGCATGGACACAGGTCTTCCTCTCCATCCAGGAGAGTTGTAGCAGGCAGCCCCAGGGAAGGGATAGGGAACTTTATGCCACTTGGAAGCTGTGTCACCTGCCTCTTGGTTAAGATGTGGCCCAATAGCTGATAGACTGTATATCTAACCAGAAAAATCCCCCTCTTCCTCCTCCAAAGAAAGGAAGGAGCAGAGGATGCAAAGCCTTCCCTTAAACACTCCCTGCCCTGCCCCCAGTTGGCAGAAGAGAAATCCCACTTTATAAGAATTTGAGGAGTGAAGGATAAGTGCTTCCCACTAATGAGCATGATCTTTGAGAATATGAGGATTCTTTTTGCTTCTGGTTATTCTGTGACTACAGAAGATTAAGTCCCTGAAAGCTGCAGAACCCAAGGGTAGAGGCAGTGGGCAGAGTTCTTGGGGATTTGGAAGAGGTCCAAGAATATACAAATACATCCCTACTTTTCATAATTATATATTAAAGGTGCCATTCTATATTACACTGCATGGGTTTTTTCCCCCCAATATTTTAATACAAGTAAGTAATAAATTTACCTAAGTAGTGTTTCCTGGATTATTTTCTGTATGGAGACAGCAGCAAGGAATAAAATATAAACTCATTTATAGGATCATTACCATGTACATATAATAAATTATTGAAAATATTTACTTTTTTTWAAAAAAAGCATCCCAACCTTCATGGTAACTTCTAACCATTGCTGTTTTCTCAGTTGATAGCTAATTTATAGCCAATACACCTGGAAAGCTGTGCCCCATCTACCTTTTTTCCAATTTTTTTGGCACATTACAGTTGTACGTAATGGATTTGTTGTTACATATTAAACACACACACACACTATATATATATTTGGCTAATAGCACTCCTTAGTACTTCCTGCCTCCCTCCCATCCTCCCACTCCCTGGTCCCTTTCCTCTGCTTTACTGATCTCCCTTTGATTTTCATGTCATCCTAGCTTTTTTTTTTTCTTTTTCCTAGCTTCCATATATGAGAGAAAACTACTTGATGTTCTGAGTTTGGGTTAATATAATGTTAAGAAATTTTGCTTAACATAATGTTCTCAAGTTCCATCCATTTCCCTACAAATGACATTATTTTATTTTTCTTTATGGCTAAATAAAACTCCAGCGTGGAT